GCAGTAGTGTGTGTGTGTGTGTGTGTGTGTGTGTGTGTGTGTGTGTGTGTGTGTGTCTGTGATGTGTCTGTCTGTGTATGTGTGTGTGTTTGTGTCTGTGTATATGTGTATGTGTGTCCGTGTGTGTGTCTATGTATGTGTCTGTGTATACATATGTGTGTTTCTGTGTGAGTCCATGTGTGTGTCTGTGTGTGTGTGTCTGTCTGTCTGTGTATATGGGGCGGCTTTGTTAGATTTAATAGATGTGTGACTCGACCCTGCTCTTGCCCACACTTCAAATATTTTACACATCAAAAGAAAGAAATTTTGAAGTACTTGAGAAACTCTTAACTTTTCAACTAGAATTAGCAAGATGGAGAATAGGTGCTCATTCTCTCCCAAATGGTTCCATTTTGAAAAACAAAACACTGTGGATTGGATCATGCTTTGACTCAGCATGGCATTGCTCACATGTTTTGGACTTGCAGTGACCCTGTCCTGCTGGTTCCCTTCCCTAGATAACAAGTGGAATTAAGCTGTAAGCTTGTGGAGATAGTTTGCCTATTTAGAGCAGAGCACTGTGGGGTTAGCCTATAGGTGTGTGTTATTTGCTCATTGCCATTAAAAAAAAAGAAAAAGAAAAAGAAAAAGCCAGGCATAGTGGCACATGAATTTAATCCCAGCACTCAGGAGGCAGAGGCAAGGTGGATTTTTGTGAACTTGAGGCCAGCCTAGACTATGTAAGTCCCAGGCTAGCCAGGGCTACATAGTCAGATACTGTCTTGATAAAAGACCAAGACTTTAAAATACTAGTTGTCATCTTTCCTCCTTCTCCTTCTCCTCCTCCTCCCCTTCCTCCTCCTCCTCCTCCTTTCTTCTTTCTTCTTCTTCTTTGTCTTTGTCTTCTTGAGTTTTTAAAAAATTTCTGAAGAGTAAGAATTGTGCTTCCCAGAGACAGCCATAGGCTAGCGCCACGCCCCCTCAGGAGGTATTTCAGCCACCCCCTTTGGTGGGGTGTGACTCCCCAGGACAGCCAGCTCCCCTTTTGCCTCCCAACACCCGAACCATGAGCCTGCCGCTTATCAATATTGCTACATTGCTGTGTTGAACAGTCAGAAAAGAGTTCTTAAACATACATCTCTAGTGAGTGTGACATTTGGAAAGACGAAGGCCAGGTGCATCTTCACTTGTGAGCTGTGCAGACATGCCTTCCATTCCCACAGGTCTCAGCATCTAAGGGCCTTTTGCTTTTCTTGGGTGGGGGAAGGGAGTCATGAGTTTTAGTGAGCTGGAAACTTTCCAGACAGATTTATTATCTTTCTTCTTTTCCTCCTTCCCCAACTTGTTTTTCCCTCTCAGTTTTAGATGAAAACATTTTGTGTCCACCCCCAACACTGAATAGCTTTGGCAGAAAAATATACTGCTTTATGATGTTTTTCTTGTATTTTTAGATTAAAATATTTACTATACCAATACATTCATGTTTAATATGGGAAATATTATCATTGAATAGCCCATTCTTTGCCACAGAAGTGATAATGGTTAGCATGAGAAATTGTGCTGTATTAAATAGACAACCTAAATATTTAGTATGAATGTTACTTAATCAAAAAAACTCTGATGCTGACAAGCATATGCTTGGGCTGAGGTGAGCAGGGGGCAATGGATAGCCATAGGAGACTGGATACTAGCCCTCAGCATCCTGTTCCAGCTGCCATGCCTGTGGCTTCTCCACCATGCTAGGCTCTTAGCCCCCTGGAACCATAAGACTAAATAAACCCTTCTATGAGTTGCCTTGGTCATGTCGTTGTATCTCAGCACCAGAAAAATAACTAATATAGGACTCCAACAAATATCAAGCATATTGGATACTCAAATCCCACATATAAAATGGAACACATATTCTGCCGTTTACTCTGGAGTATTCACAATCCCCCATACCATATAAATACTTTGTTTATACTTGTGCTATATTTAGTTTGAATAATGATGACCCCCAAAAAAGTATCTTCAGATGTTCAGGACATTTTCTTTTGTCTACTGAATTTTTTGGATCCTTTTAATATTTTTGAGTGCTTTCAATCTGCAGTTGTTTTGAAAGCCCCAATGGGGAACCCACAGATACGGAGTGCCAACTGTGCGGCCCTAGCAACAACATTCCTGCATCAGGGGAGCTCATCATAGCATCGGGAGATTCGCTTCTTGACAGCCCTGGGAACGCTCCCCTTTATAGATGAGAAATACAAACCCAAAGAGGTTCTGGGAGCTGCTCGGGCCAATCTGGGCCAACATCTGGGTGTTGTTTGTTCATCTGTTTTTGAGGAATTGGTTAGGATCACAACACAGTTAGCTCGGATATTAACAACAAGGTGACAGTGGGGATGAAAAGAGAGAGGGTCCTGGCTGAGCAATTCCTGTCACTATGAACCAGGCTAACGAAAATTTAACCTCAGTTTTTGTGTTATTTTGACTTTCAATCGAAATTCCCACCTCCAACCCACATTTGCAGTCCAAATGCGTCTGGAAGCGGGAGGTGGCCACAGGGGATGCAGGACCTTGGATGATGGCCTCCAGCTGCATTCCTTTTATTTGAATTTAACAAAGGCCCGTAAAGGAAACTCCAAGAGCTGGTTCTTTGGAATAGACTATTAGGCAGTGTTTGCTGTTTTTTTCCAAAAGTCAAGACGCTCCTGTGAATAAACACCACATAGACCTAAAGAGGAGGCTGGTGGACACCTTCAGAAGCCTTTCAACTTCCTCATCTCTATTCATCAATTCATGTTTGGGACATTTCCTCTCTATGATCACCCAACACAAATGTAAAAGGCAACCCTTCTGAAATGCATTTCTCTTTGATCTTTTGTGAGGCACATTCTTTTCAGTTACTTCTTCACCGTCAATGAAACCATTCCCTTTCCAGATTTCTTCTTGTGCTGAAAATCTGCACCATTAGTCAGCCCTCTGCCGTGAATTACAGCTTGCCTTGAATCTGCTTCTTGGATCCTGTCTGTCAAGAGACTAGGGAGTCCTTGTCACGGCAGGGCAGGATGGCCTCAGCAGCCTTTGGCTCTAGTCTTCCACACACACACCATCACTCCTGCAACAACGTCCCTCAAAACTTTGCTCATCAGACCCTACTCTGCCTTTATTTTGTGGCTCTGATCAGATCCAAGCTGTTTGCGCTGCTTCTCAGGTCACATTTCATTAAGAAAACGCTCCAGATTCCTTTCCATGCCAGGAAATCAGTGAGCCATTCACAGAGCTCTACTGGTCTTCCGGTCACCAGAGAACGTCACCCATGCTATCCTTCCTTTGTCCCCAACAATGCACTGTGCCCTCCCCACACACTCCTCCCCTCCTTCCTCCTCTCCTGCCATGCCTCATCTCTCATCTCAGGTCTCGTATGAAGCATTCACTCCAATCTCCTCTTGACTTATGTTCTTTTTTGTGAGACAGGGTCTCTCCGTGTAGTTTTGGTGCCTGTCCTGGATCTCACTCTGTAGACCAGGCTGGCCTCGAACTCACAGAGATCCACCTGGCTCTGCCTCCTGAGTGCTGGGATTAAAAGTGTGCGCCACCACCGCCCAGCTTGATTTACGTTCTTGCTACTGCTATGTTCACATTAATGTATGTGTGGCGGGGAAAGGGGAGGGCTTTGCAAATACCCACAAGCAACTTCTACCTGCCTGGTTCTCTTCCACAGAGTATGTACTGGACACCAGAGGCAGAGAATTTTCCTTTCTTTCCCACCCCCATGCTACAGGGGAGTCAGTGTAGAGAGCTGAGGCTGCTAAAATGTTCAGCACAAAGTGGGTGTGCACTGTACGTCATGGACTGATTACAAAAGGGTGCTTGATCACCGTAAGATAACCAGAGAGAACGAGCAGTCAGCAGCACCCCCTACAAGGGTATATTCAAGTTCTAATGAGACCCAGTTAGAAGCCCCGCTCCCCCTCTATGAAGCCCTATGCATCATGTGACCAGAAAATGCTAAGGTGAAGGACTCGGGCTAACTACAGCTTCTCTTTATTTGTCTCTGTGAGGCTCCATTTTTCTTCCTTGTTGGAAACCATGGACTTTGCTCCTTTTCCTCGGATGGGTGGAGTGGAGCCTGTTAGAAAACTGAGCCTCTGGGACTCGAATGCAATGGGCTTGGCTGTAGCGCCCTGTGGAACCTTCCTTGAGAAGTCCTGAAAAGACTATTGAATTTGGCTCGTGTCCTTCTGCAGGGACTAGACCTGTTTCAGATGCAATAAACTGATTAAGACAGATCTTTTTCATTCCTTAGAAATCTTACCATATCATTCTTAAAGTTATAATAGACTATTTTACAATTGTGCACATGTTTTTGAGCAAGAGGACAACTTAACCTTAAAAATGATGTATAAACTGGCCAAGGCACAAGACAATAGTCTTATCCAGATAGAAACACAGGCAGACATTGATTAGCTTGCTAAAGGATGCCAAGTTACTTTGAAGACCCCTCCTCCACCCCTCCCTCTCCCTCCTTACACTCCTCCATCTCTGATTACACATATTTTGGAGGATCTTTTGCTTAGTAGGGGGTTTGTTCGGTTTTTTCTTCTGCCATAGGATTAAAATGAAAATGCTGTGTCTGCTAAACTCTGGTATTACTAGACCTTCCGTGTGTTTTGCCAGGGTTTTGATATGCTGTAACAAGCCATTGTTCTCTAATGATCTTCAAAAGCTCCTGACATCGAAATCTTCCTCATATCTACAAGTCTGGCTTTAATTACATGATTAGCCTGCATGCTTTTCCCTCTGTGGTTAAAGAGGAGAAAGACTGGGAAGGGATGATTATTCTACAGAATGTCTGAGATGTTTCGGATCCCAAACGGCCTGCTTTGTTCTAGAAATGAGAACTGACCAGATTATAGACTCCTTCACACAAGGGAAGGGAAACTGTTAAGCAGGGGGAACAGAGACGCTTGATCTACAGGGTGGAAGTGAGCGCCCACAAGATGCACTTCGCTAACCTGCGTCAGAACTGTGCCTTTCAGGTTCTCTGCAAGTCATGAACAAAACGAGAAAGATCATGGAACACGGCGGGGCCACCTTCACCAACGCCTTTGTGACCACACCCATGTGCTGCCCGTCCCGGTCATCCATGCTCACGGGGAAGTACGTGCACAACCATAACGTCTACACCAACAATGAAAACTGCTCCTCTCCCTCCTGGCAGGCAATGCACGAGCCGCGGACCTTTGCCGTGTATCTCAACAACACTGGCTACAGAACAGGTAAGGGATGCTGTTTCCTCTTCCACAGTCTTAGACGAGACTAAGACGAGACGATGCACAGGGTGGAACGAGGTGTGAGAAGTTCCAGGAGACTCAAAAAGGAAGAGTCTACCTTCTCCCATCTCTGCTGTGGTCCATGCTCTGTCGCTATGACAGAACCCACGAGACAGGGTAACTTGTTGAAGAAAAAATGTCCAAGGTCTCGCAGTTCAGGGGGTTGGAAGCGCAAGAACATGCTGGCAGCTTCCAGCAAAGCTTTTAATCTCAACCACAGAATGGCAAAGAGTGAAAGGACAGGTTAAGTGCCCTCGGCAGACAGACAAACACAAGGGTGGCCTCACTTTCTAACAACCTGCTCCACAGGCAACATCCACTCCTGGGAAAGGCGCTGAGTTCCTCTTAGCAACTGAATTAGGTATCAAAGCACTCAAATTTTAAAGAAGACAAGCCACATTAACACCAGAGTAAGAAGTACTTTTACTCCAGAGAATATCCCAGTGGGAAATCCCTTCTAGAACATTCAGTATTCTCAGTGGATGTAATAGGAAAATGTTGTTCCCACAAAGGCGCCCAGCAGGTGAAACAGTCCAAGGTAACATACCATGAATGAGGTTTCGTTCCATTCACAAATCTCAGCGGATCGTGGAAGAACTTGGGGGCTTGCTTAGATGTGGGTAATGCCTGCTGATGTTTCAGGGGAAATTACTAAGTGTTGTTCTGAAGTGCTCAGTGCCTGCTCCAGAGCCTCAGACCCAGCAGATGAGCCAAAGGACTTCTTGAGTAAATTAATAAGCCAGCCTTGTGGACTTTCCTGATTCATTTATTCATTCATACGGAATGAATGGGACTGCAGCAGTTCCTTTAGCGGAAGTCACAGTCATCAAACATGGACCGTTCCTTCCAGGAAAGGAAGCCGTCTTTACTGCACCAGCTACCGACCCTGAGCCCGCACACAGCAAGAGGAGGCTCATGGTTAGCTGGGGTTTTGAAAACTGAACTCTTTGTTGGGGCGGGGGAGGGGGGGGATCCGAGTATCTCACTGTGGGCAAGGACTAAGAGGAAAGACCTCCTGGGACCATTATCCTCAAAGCCCTTATTCTCCAGCACTGGATTTCGCTTCCCAGTTTTCTCAGTTTCTTCACAGGAGAAAGTAGGGTACACATGGCAAGCTTGCATGGTAAAAAATAGAGTATGGATCCCCACCCCAAAAACCACTTAGATTTATTCATAAGAAGGTGTCATCAAAAAGGTTTATTGGAAATTATTTTCAGGCCTATAGATAATCTGTTCCCAAAGTTTTAAGGGATTGCAGATAAATATTCTCTTGACTCTCTTTTAATCATTCCCAATGGGATCAGGAAATATGTTGTCATTTGCTTTTTCGAAGCAAGCCCCATGGGTACTTAATTCTCGTTATTTATGGATGAAATTATTGATTGTGCATATGCTAGCTCCAGCACACACAGGCATCTGAGGACCCCTATTCACAGAGGAAACCCCTCTGCTATCCAAGGGTGTTTGCTTTCGATTAGGAGGGGGACTGGACTAGAGAGGGGGTTTCAGAGGGCACCTGCTCCTGGTGTGTCTTCTCATATTAGTGATTTAAATTTATGGCGCCTTTCATCCCAGGACTCTCAAGCAATTAGCAAATCCACCAAACATCCCTGCAGGGTTCCAAGATGGCAGATGTGCTTGGCTGTGTTTTATAACTGGAGTAGGGCTTCAGATACTGTGTAAGCAGCTCTGAAGCAAGTTTAAAACAGTCCTCTAATGCCTGGGTCCTTACTCTAGCCACCAAATGTGTTCTGCTCATGAGAAGTGTGTGAATCCAGTGCCTTTGACATTCCCAGGCTCCCTGTAATTTAGTTCCTAGTGGAGAATATGAGTCTGGGAAGACTGAGACTCTCAGAACATCCAGAGTATCTGGATGGTATTTGTGCTCAGGGATGGAGCTGCAGGCTGGAGCTTAGAGCAGCACCAGGGTATGTTGATTTGTTTCCAAGATAATCCAGGAAAGAGGAAGGAGAAGGGGATGGGCTTCTACAGCTTGCCCACTCTGTCCTGGGCACTTCAGTTATCTCGCCTACCCCTTATAAGAAAGCATGGAGGGAGACTACTAATGAAGAAATCAAGACTCACAAGGACTCATTGTCAAATGATAAAATCCATCCATCGATGGTGGATGGAGCCCAGAATATCTGACTGTACCGTGCCCAGGATCCTTTTGTTTATCTGTCTTTTAAGACAGGGTCTCCTATAGTCTGAGCTCACCTGGAACTCACCACTTTGAACTTTTGATCCTCCTTCTTCTACCTCCAGAGTACTGGGATTATAGGCATGTGCTGCTGTGCCTGACTGTTTCCAGGATCGTATTTCTGTGCATGTTATTTTCTCCTGCCTTGTTCCAAAGTGCCTTAGAGATGCATAGAGCACAGTAGGATGTAGAACAGTAAGTACTGTGGCCTGCAGAAACAAATGATAATGCCTACCTAAAGTTATTGTGAAGTTTGGCCCATGAAGTACATGCTGTGGAGTCATGGCGAAAGGCTGTGTGAAGAAAGTACGGTTCCTGATAGCAAAAGCAACATTGGAAAGAATCCCTTGCAGAGTTCACTAGGTCACCAGCAAGGAGGTCAATCATCAGCTTGTAGGTGGCAGAGTGTACTCTTATATTTATTTTCATTGTATTATGTCACACTCACCCTGTGTTGGGTTGGCTAAAACTAGAGATGATTTATTTAAGAGTTTTGTTTGTTTGTTTTATAGCATAGGCTGACCTCTAACCTTCCAGGCTCTAAATGCTGGCATTATAGACATGTGCCACCATATCTGGCCATCACTGACTCTAATCCCTTATTTTCCCAGCCACAAATTTATACCTACAAGAGAGGGGTGTTCTTAGTGACAGAGTTGGCACCAGTGCTTAGGGGAGCAGGGCTCAGCTCGGAATGTTACTGCACTTGTCGAGTTGGGTCTGGGATAAAGCTGTGAGCACCAACTGTAAGGCACCCCAATAAAGACTGTGTGTTATTCTCTGCAGCCCAGCTTTAGCTTGGGATTTTCTCCATGGACATCATATCCGCTTCAAGAAACAAAGGCTGATTCTAAAGCCAATATCTTTCCAAAATTGAGACACATCGGTAATGACAGAATTCATAGTGAGGGATCGTCCTCCTGTATATAAGGAATTCTTTCAGGGAAGCAAGGACCCTTCCAAACACATAGGGGAGAAAAAGTATAACATTCACTCAGGTGGCCGGGATGTAGGTCAGTGGAAGAGGGTTTGTCCAGCGTGCATGAGATCCTAGGTTTAAGTTCAGCATCACAATGATGTTAGAGATCTGTGTAATTTAAAGTTATCTCTAATGAGAAAGATAAAAGTATCTCAGGAAGTTAGGAAATATGACCATCATCATAACAATAGCTAATGATCTAACCATAAATAGTGGCTGCAAAATTAAGGGGATGGGGGAGAAGATTACAAGACACTAAACTAGTGAGAAAAAAAGACAATGTCTAATCAGTTGCTGCTTTCCTAATTGTGAGCATATTACTTGGACTATTTAACTGTAGACTTAAGAAAAATAATGGAGGAGACTAAAATAATATGACACATAAATATCCATCTAAGAGAAACGCAAAGTCCAATAAGTTTTATGAAAAACAACTCCAAGAAGACAAATTACTAAGAGGCTTATTTTGGGAGGCATCCAGAATACACGGATTTAAATGAAATGAATTGATCAATATTACATTTACCCTCGTATGACATGATTTTCCTCTTTCGGAACTCAGGCATATTTTTGGACTGGCTGTAACTTAAATGTTTCTAACTTTACTCATGGAAAATGTGAGTCGACCAGAGCTTAAACGGCCAAGAAGGAAGAAACACAACACTGTGTCTGTTGCATTTTGTCCTGAGTAGTGAAGTGAGAAAGGCCATGGATTATCTATCACAAAAAAACGAGTGTGCTGCCTGAAGTCTGCTAAAAATTATGACGGGACAGATGTTAATATAAAACTTAGCCCAAAACTGTAAGGTTAAAAAGAAATCATCCGCGGTTGAGAGACAGCTTTGGATGGAAGGCAGAGAAGCTGAAGGTGAAGCTGGAACGGCTGTGGTCACAGCCTACTCTGCCCTTAATCTTTTTGAAGGACTTGGGCCAGTTTTCCAACATACAGTTTTCTTGCCTGTCCAAAATTACGCTGCAGTTCTGCTATGCTTGCTAAAATTACCTAATCACCCGAGCTGACTGTTAGACACACCCATTCTACTCCATGCTGCGAGTGGAAGAGGCACTATCTGGTTGGAATCTGCAATGAAATGTTTAATTAATTGTGGGCTGGTATCTTACTGTGCTGCCTAGACTGGTCTTCAGCCGCTATTCTCAAGCTATCCTCCTCTCTCTGCCTCCACTACACATACATGGTGCTATTCTTGCCTTGCTGTGCCTTTTTTCTGTAATAAATTAATTTACATAAGGTTACCTATTCTCTAACCTTATGTCTTTTTACATAAGTTCTATCTTTTTACATAAGATTTGTTTTACTTGTAGCAAGCTTATTTATTTATTCTCTAGTAAAGGATTAAATTAAATGTAGGGTCTTCTAAGGTAAGACAAGCTAATATTCTCACTTGTTTGGATTATGATGCCATGGATTTTTGTTAGACAAGTAAACATGAAACGTTGCATATATTTATTGAACCACAGGATATTGGGGATACACTGGACCCTGGGATATAAAGAGACAGAAAGTGACAGTCCTGCCTTCACGGTGCTTGCACTCCATTTGAGTAAACCAAATTCATATATACAAGTGTATAAACCACAATTGAGCTCAGTTCTCAACTGTATCTTTAGTAACTACGATGAAATCCTTCCGCAGACATGAAAATGCCCATGAATACATCGTTCACTATACTAGATAAGATTTAATTTCTCTAAGCATCAGATCGTTTTATAGTTACTATTACTGATATAAAAAGAAAAGTCTCTTTTTCAGGCAGTTCATAGGCATGTTTCTAAGTGTTATGCAGTCCGTGGTCCCAGAGGAGAGTAGGAGGATAACCACACACACACACACACACACACACACACACACACACACACACACACACACTAGTTATCATCCATAATCCAATCTTTCCTATCTCTCTACCCATCTTCCGACTCCAACCACCTCCCTAAACAGCTGTGAAGGGAAGCGGTGATGTCATAAGAGAAAAGAATGGTCCAGAAGGTCGGGTTAGCTCTGACAGCACCGGCTGAGCTGAACTGCCATCACAAAGGAGGGAGGAAAGTCAGTGCTTATAGCCAAGCCCTTGGCGTGGTGATATGGAAATGGAATGAAAACCGAGCTCACTTTAGAGAAAGGCATGGATGAATGGTGCATGTGGAACAGAATGACTGGAAACCCAGACAATCAGTGATAGGGCATGGCCACGAAACGGAATGTCCAAAGAAACCAGGGATGGGTGGAGATGATCTCGGTGACAGGAAACTCCCAAAAGATCAGAGGAGCTTGAGCTGCCACTGCTGGGAGCTGCGTCCTGGGCCTGGGCTCTCCTGCAGCAGATGTGGTGGGCGACCCCACATCTGGAATCCTGAGTACATTTTTCACACTCCATTAACACAAAGACACTGAAAACCTGGAGGCAGTTCTGAAGGCAGTAGCAAGAACTATTAACAGACTTGAAGGAGTCGTTTATAAGGGAAGGATTAAGGCGCAGGGCAATCGCCATGGTAATGGCTAGAAATGGTACAAAGTGACCTAAAAAGTCCAGCCATGAGGGAAGGGCAGGCCTGACTGGGCATGGCTTCCCTAGAGGTGGGGAGCACTGGAAGTAGCAGGAAAAGTTTTCAACTTAATGAAGGAAAATGGAAAGCACATGGGAGAGAACTGGTTTCTACAAAATAGGTCATATTGGGGGACAGAAACCAGACACCAACAAACAAAAACCTGTAACAAAGCAGAACCGTAGATCAAGGTGTCCTCCAACCCCTTAAAATGTGACATCGTGGTGATTCTAGCCAGCACGTGAGAAGTCCCCTGTGCTTGTCAAACCGTGTTTAAGTGCTTTACCCTGCATCGGCCTCTTTGGCCCACACAACACCGCTGTCAGTCACTGTGCCTCTTCTGAGCAGGTTCTCCAGGACAGTGCAGGAAGGGAGAGGCGAGCCAGCCTGCAGACGCCTGGAGAGCCTGCTCTCAGCTGCACACTCCAATTGCTATGCTCTTCTACAAAACTCTTCAAAAACACAGGACAGAAAAGTAGGGTGAGCCCCTAGAGATGAGGAGGAAGACAGAGAGAGGAGGGCCCAGGCTTATTAGGCACAAGCTCCAAGAACAGTCCCTTTCTGAACTGAGAATGGGCAGGAGCAGGGCTCTGGCCTGCTTCTCCTAACACCAAGTTATACTGTTAGCAAAGGAAAGTCCCTTTGTGGTGCTAGCCCACGGAGGAAGCTGGAAGCACCATGCAGGCAAACCCCTTACATCTTGTCCTACACTCATCAGCCTGCCTGGAAACTGGGCAGGATCCTCAAGCACCAGGCACTGGGTAGGTGGGCGATGGATGGTTCACTCACTTATAGAACCACAAGAAGGCATCCCTCCAGCAAAGAAACTAGAGTGCTGTATTTCTTTCTTTTTAATTATTTATTTTTCTATATTATTTTTGTGCATTGGTGTTTTGCCTCATGTATGTCTGTGTGAGGGTATTGGGTCCCCTGGAACTGCAGTTATAGACAGTTGTGATCTGCTATGTGGATGCTGGGAATTGAACTCAGGTCCTCTGGAAGAGCAGCCAGTGCTCTTAACCATTGAGCCATCTCTCTAACCCCAGAGTGGACTGTTTCTCAGACTCCAGTCCAGATTGTTTTCAAAGAAAATAATTTAAGGAGTCATATAATTTTAAGACACCTTAAAAAACTATATTCTACAGACATATGTTAGAAGAACAAATCAACTTTTAAAACTTGTAATTAAAGTGAAATGCATTTTTTTGAATTCCAGAACTTGTAAACTCTCTGGAATATACCAGGTTCATTAGGCTCAGTGTAAGAAATACTGGCGGAACCTTGTACTGTACAAGGATGGTGGGCAGGCCACAGGGTGAGGCAACGGTGCACATAGAGATTCATGGCTATAATCTTATAATCTTAGCACTTGGGAGGTAGACACAGAGACAAAAGCAGGAAGATCGATGGTTCAAGGCCAGCCTAAGCCACATAGCCAGACCCTGCCTCAAAAACTAAATACATGCATACATAAATGAGTAAATAAATAAATAACAAAAAATAAAAACAGCATGAAGTAGAGAGCTTCCGTCAGAAGGGACCAAGCTTACTGAAGAACCTGACTGGAAGGAAGGGAAGGTGCATTAGAACTATAAGATATGGAACTTTGGGTTCGAGACTAGCATTTGAGTGAGCCACGAGCTTCTCTGGCCTTGATTGACTGAAGACCAGATGTGGACATGGAAGACTCGTGGAAACCACAGTGCCCACTGAGGTGCCACACTGGGTGAGGAAGGGCTCGAAAGGCTGGGAAAAGTTTTACTCTGTGGCTATGTGAAAAGCAAGGTGAGCTTCTCAGTGAAGTTTTCTGATTCCTCACCCAAATAAAAAGCAAGAAAAGTTAATTTGGTCACAGAGACTAGCCCTCGGTGTTCTGGTCCTCACACAGCAGTCACACACCAGATCTCACACTGCCTGTCAACTGAACAAAAGAATATATTCCCCATTTATTCCAGGCTGGCCTGAAGAAGCAGATCCCCACAAGCGTGATGTATTTCAATTCTACTTACATCTCTTTAAAAACAAAGTGAGTGACTGTCACTTGGACAGGGCCTGAAGGAATGTGCGGAGGAGAACTCTGGCAGTGCGGAGGAGAACTCTGGCAGTGCCCTCCTCCGATGAATTTTCACCTCACCACCACTTTTCAAGTCCTAATTTCACATCTCTGCATTTGCTTATGATTAATCATCTCACAGGAGAAAAATAATCTTTCATTTCCCATTGCAGCCTTTTTTGGAAAATACCTCAATGAATATAATGGCAGCTACATCCCTCCTGGGTGGCGAGAATGGCTTGGATTAATCAAGAATTCTCGTTTCTATAATTACACTGTTTGTCGCAACGGCATCAAAGAAAAGCATGGATTTGATTATGCAAAGGTAATTTCCAGGGTAAAACTGCATCAATTTGCTTTTGTGCATAATGGGGGGACGGCATTTCCAGGGACTTAAACTATCCGCGAGATGGGCTTTCTGTGTTCTCACAGTGTTCGAATGAGAAATTTTAAGGCAATTTCCAACTCCAGACAAGAAAGACTCTAAAGGCCCAGGGCTTTTGTCTAGTGAGTCTTTTTTCCTTCCCTCTCATCAGGATGAAAGGCAATCGGCCTTTGATGAAAGTACCATCCAGAAAATCAGACCTCCTCTTCTCATTGTTGTGATAAGTTTTGTTTCTCCCTCTCTTGAGAGAGAGCTAGTCTGCATAATCAAATGTGCATCTTGGACTGTTTGCTTTTCAGCGGTTGAAAGTGTGTTTTGTTGGTGGTTTCAGCCTTCCACATGGAAATAAGAACAGACTGGTGGAAATAAGAACAGTGTCCCAGAAACTTTGGGACACTGTTATTTGCTTTTACTCCCATCTGACCAAGCTGTTTGTGACCAGGACATCTGCCCTGGTCAGTGAGAGTTCACAACAGTCTCCCTCCGGCTGTCAGTCTTAGGTTGTCCAAATCAGTCTACAGAAACGGTCCCTGGTTCCCAAACAAGCAGATCCTAGACTTTAAAGTTAACAAAAGTAAGTCAGACACAGTGATGTGTGTCTATGATCCCAGCTCTTAGGAGGCTTGGACAGATGCATGGAGAGTTTGAGCCAGTTTGGGCTACATAGTGAGTGCAAGCCAACCAGGAGTATTTGGTGAGAGCTCATCTAAAGCACAAAACCACAATCACAAAATTTTCCTAAGATTACTAACTTAAATTAATAAAAAATTGAGACCATAAAAGTGAAGGGAAGAATATCTTTAAATTCAGCTTGGTAATTTTTCTAAAACATTCTCTTTCCTTCTGGACAGATCCATTTTATTTTCCTAAAAATGCCAAAATTCAGCTGGCTCTAGCAACCTGTTTCAACAGGTTCAGGCATTTGGTAGAAAGTGAATGGGGACTGGGTAGCATTTCAGGCATGCTGTTGTCTTTGTGCCTGGCCTTCATGAGAGAACAATGGACTCGGAGAGACATGAGGTGGAAGGCTGGCTCTTCCTGCCGTCCTGAAAATAATGAATACAAATGAACTCACTAACACTGCTGATAGGCTTCTAGACATCAAATTGGAGAGTCACGTCAGCAGGGACCTTGAAGGCAAATTTGATCCACGTCCTCATTGTAAAAGACAAGGAAACTCAGCTTGGAGTGGTTCAACCACTCATGTATCCTGGGTCATTTCCCTGGCTGGGGACAAAAATCTTTGCAGGCGAAGGATGCATGCCATGCACACTAATTGTCATTGCTATCACTTTCGATCTGCAGGGATGCTTTTCATGCTCCTTGTTCAAGCTATTAACCTTTTATTCCCCGTTGTCCTAAGGAGAACAAAGTAATCAGGATTCTCTCCAAATACTAAATCAGCGCAACCTGCTCATTATCACGGCTGATTAGGTGTCAAAGACAACTGTATTGGAAAGGAGTGTGTATGTGTGCATGTGTGCGCATGTGCATGCCCACAGGAGTGCGTGTGTGTTTATGTGTGTGTGCGTGTGCTTGTAAAGAAATTTAAAAAGACTCCCACATGGAAAGGGGGTGGGGACAGCCTTTGGACGTGTCCTCACAAGGATGTGACACAGATTTCTGCCCCCAGCACTGTTCTGGCAGCTGCTCTGGTCCTTAAACCCACACCATGTGACCAGCTGGGCCTGGAAGTCTTTGACATTATGACCATTGCCTAGGGGTTTCTGACAAAAGTTTACACTACAGCTTTAGGCCAACGGTAGGCACAGAGAAGCAGGTGGCTTAATTAAAGTTCTCATCTTCTCGGTCCTCCTCCTTCCTCCCTGCCCACTTCCAAACTTGCATCATGCCTCACCCCCTACACTGTGTGCTAAGTCATTTTATTAGCAAGTCAGACTCAGATCCCAGCAGCTGGGCCGCTTTCTTCGTACAGTTCGCATAGTATAAGCTGCAGGAAATCAAATGCTCCCACGTTTGAGTGTTCCAAGTAAACGACTTGATAAAATGCTGCCATTTGTCCCTGTACCCGTCCGTGACTTTTGACAAGGCCTTCGATTTGATGGTGGTATTATTCTTAAAGGTAGATTAAATGACTAAAGCGTTTCCTGGGTTTGTGTGTTTGTGTGTGTGTCCCTTTGCGTATGTGTTCTGAAGTTGTGAATGTCAAGCGGGTGTGGGCGTTTCCTGCCCTTGGAGTAATTGAATGTTTCACCAATGAATTACTCTCAATGAAACCTGAGAATGAGATATAGATCTGGTGTTTCATGTGTTCTTGAATTGATATGGCCAGTTTTAATGATTATCTTAGGCAAGCACAACTTACCTCTTTCCTTCCCTAACTGCTAAATTGTATGTCTTTTTCCCCCTTGTTGCTAAGCCGGTTCCCCCAAAAATGAACAGCCACAGATATTTCTGCTCTTGAAGGTGGTTGGCTCCTTGGGCAGCTGTCGTCCCTCTCAGGCTTAGACCTTGCCTCTGTACTCAGTGGGTAGATTCTGAGGAAAGTGGTGTTCAGATGTGATCTTGAATGTCACCTTTTGTAATTTTTGTTTTGTGTCAAATGTATGTTTCAGGACTACTTCACAGACTTAATCACTAACGAGAGCATTAATTACTTCAAAATGTCTAAGAGAATGTATCCCCATAGGCCCATTATGATGGTGATCAGCCACGCAGCGCCCCACGGCCCTGAAGACTCGGCCCCACAGTTTTCAAAACTGTACCCCAATGCCTCCCAACACATGTGAGTAACAAAAGCAACAATGCATCCTTGCCGAACGTGGCCCTTGTTTGTGCTCCCCAACATATCCTCCTCTTTACCCTATTTCCTTCCACGCTACACAGCCCCAAGGCAGAAATGCCAGCTCCACGGTGTTGGTGTCAGGATGTGAAAACCAAGGGGTGCAGCGCAGGATAGGCAGAGCCGCTAGGCTTGCAGTAGTGCGTGCTGGGGTTCTGATTGGGAATCACATTTCCAGTGTCTGCCAGTTACTAAATGAAGAGGCTCGCGTCAGGAAAATGGGGGCAGTTTTCACCTAAAGTCCCATTCAGTGTCGTCAATGATGTTTTGGAATATGACCTAATAGTACTAACGGGGTGGGAAGGCTTTGCTTTCCGTAGCTGCGGGGCGGCCCCTCTCTGCTCGGGCTGCAGAAACGTGGCTTTATTTTCTTTCCTGGGGAACACAGGAGCAGCTTGGCTGCAGATGTCCACTTAGGCTTTTGCAGAAGGCAGCTGGAGTAGCGTGCCTGGGAGGCCCTCTCAGGTCACGGCTTTAAAATAACCCGATGTTTCATCTGTGGGGAGGCTCAGGGGAGGCCCCGGTGGCTGGGAGGAGCGGAGGGAGAGAAGAGAGCCGCAGTGTGCTGATAATCCTCTCTGGCCAGGGCTGGAAAAGTCGGGGTGCCTCGGCAGCAAAGAACAAGATTTTGTTGTTGGCTCTGTCAACAGTTTCTCCCAACCTTCACACCCAAAACGCAGCCTTCCACACAGAGCAGCGGGGACCAGGTCTGCTGAAACACATCCATTCAGAAGGCACCTTTATCACAAACCTCTGAAACTGGTTCATGATCTAGGTGTGCTTAAATACTGCCCCTCCTGGCTCTTCTAAACGAGATCCCGGACAGAAAGAACCTTAGGGGTACAGAAGAGACCACTGATGGAATTGCTAAGCATTAGGCTCCCGGGAGGAAGTTTTCTTTCTATTCTTAGTATCTTTCTGTAACTATCCTTCCTCGGTCACATGACCAAGACTAACAGGAAAGAGGTCAGAGCTCACTTAGAACAGAAACTAACAATAAATAAGAAGCAAAGTGGGTCACCTACTGTGCCCAGGAGGATGCAAATATTTATTGCATGAAAGATGGAGACACACAAGACAGTTGCTCCAGCAACGGGGGAGTTGAACTCAACTGTGTGGACAGAATCCTTCCCTTGTTTCTGACTCTGCAGATGGATTTATGAATGGAGCCTCTCAGCGGGTGGCTCCTTGTTGCAGCTCGGTTACAAATTCAGCAAGCAGCAGGTGCACTGGGGAGGAAACCATCCTTCGGGCTTCCTCAGTAGTACCTTGAAGCTCACCTTCTCCCTCTCTTTTGACCGGAAATCACATTGTATAGCTCCCTTTGTTGCTATAGCACCATCCCAGCCTAAGATGACTTTCTACAGCCTTTATACCTCAAGGGCATTTCTCAGCGTTTGCAGGGCAGGGGCTGCTAAAATGCGGCATTTCATGGTTCTTTAGAGGTCAGCCTGCCTGTGAAGCTTCGAGGCTAGATCCTAAGCCTATATGAAAACCAGCCACTCAAGTGATCCCAACAGCTAGGTTGCATGTACAGACAGTAACTACAGGTGGAGAGGAGTCCAGGGTCGGGAGGGGAGGTCAAGGGGGTTTGGGGGTGGTAGCTCCGAAGAATGCACCTTGGACTCTGACACTAGAAATTATACATATAAGATTATCATACAGCACAGATTAAGGAAGTTAATCTTAGTTAAGGAAGGCCCAATGGGTACCCCTTGAACACTAATAAACTTGCATGGGGGGGTCCCAAATCCAGCTTGTATTCATAAGGTTTTACTGAAGTACAGCCACACTCATCCATTATGCATACAATGCAGCTACATTTGAGATCCTCCAGCCAAGTGGAGCTGTACATGGTCTGTAAAACTTAGAAGATTTATAGTAAATTTGCCCAGACCCAAGTTTTACGGGGAAGATGGGTAAGTGCCCAGAGAGTCATAACAATGGAGGGCCAGAAGTGTTGGGCACAGAGCAACAGTCACAGCACCACAGAGCAATGGGGGAAAGCGTTTGCATCTTTGGGGGAAACAGATTAACAGGCATTCAGGGTAGACCTGGAAGGATGGGGGAAATGTGTGCGGGAGACGCTACAGCCATGAAGGTAGATGATTTCAGGGACAGAGTGTAGCGCTGACGAGGCTCACTACGCACATGAAATCATCAAAGACAATGGTTCTCAACCTGTGGGTCACAACTCCCTTGTCAAACCACTATCTCTAAAGAATATTTGCATTACGGTTCCTAACAGTAGCAAAATGCCAGTTATGAAGTAGCAATGAAAGTAATCTTATGGTTGGGAGGTCACCACTACATGAGGAGCTGTGTTAAAGGATCGCATCATTAGGAAGGTTGAGAAGCACTGATCTAATACATGACCCAGGAGCTGAAGAATGGGGTACAAATAAAGTAATAAGAAATAAATCTTAAGGAGGAAATGATTGCAAAATATTGGGAACCTCAGTGAGTTTGTATATGAGTGGGGTATAAGGAATATGAGCTGACTTGATCACTTCCACGTGGGAAAGGGTTGGGCTACTCCTTTATACTTCTAACAAGCCAGCTGGGCCCTTAGCATTGCCTCAAGGAAGCAAACCCTTTGCCTGGCAGAGAGAAAGTATTCAGGTCTGTCTCACCTGTCCCTGCTAAGGCCACAGGCAGTTTGACCTCAGAGCTTCCATGAGCTCATCCATAAGTGCAAATACATGAGTCACCTTGATGTGATGTCATGAGCCAGACTTTAGAGACAGCAGAGGTAACGTTCCCACGTAGGGACACAGAAGCTGTTCATTCTTATTGACCCTCTCTATTAAGATCAATCATATGCAAATGTCAATATGATTGACCCACAAATAGTATAATTTCATTCTGTCTAACTCAAGGTTCAAAGAGAGCTGATAGAGAAATAAGTCCACACTTGCCCCCGGTGACAGGGTAAATCCCTTGACAAGTTAAGACTTCACTGCAATGGACCTCTCACACCTGGCTATTCTAAAAAAGAATAGATCTGGGCTGTCATTTTTTTCTAGACGTGCAGTTTTGCTCTGGGCAAATGCCACATGAGAGAACATTGCCAGTCATGGGAAATGAACATGCAGTCAGTGAGAGATTGGACTTCTTTGCCACTGATCCTTGGGTTTTGTGCCCCCGGCATGTAAGGAGAGATCCACATACATCCAACAGCAGTCCCTGGAAGCCTTGAGTTTCTGGGCACCTTCTTGCAAGGGTCTCCCTGGCTGCTGATAGAGGAAGGGAGGGAATGAGTGCCCAGGTTCAGAGTTCAGTCCTTCAACAAAAGGAGCGAGACAAATTGGAGACAAGCTGCAGATTGTGATGCATGGAGCTACTGAATGGCTGGCCTCCTTAGTGAAAACATTAGCGATGCAGTCAAGCAATGGGATGTAAGCAGTGAAGTGCTCTGCAGAAATATTTGGCAGGCCCTGTGGAAACAGCATGGAGCTGTAGACGCTCCTCGGGTGCGGGAAGCTAGTCATGTGGACATTTTGCTTCAGGTCTTCCTAGGTGGCCAAACATCACCCGCTCCCTTTCATCCAGCCCTGGGCTGTGGCTATCTGACCCTCTTAGACTGGGGAGAGTGGATCAAGTTTCCATGGTGTTTGCTTCTCTGACAAAGAGAGAGGCCCATTCAAAATCGGCACACTGCTTTACAAACTGAGGGGAGAGGTTATGCCTCCCAACTGAGAACAGGAGCGGATTATCGCTCCCTTGTTCACATGGGGGGCCTGTTCAATCAGACAGTAGCTCGTCCCGTCTTGGCTTCCAAGAAATCCAAGCAAAGCTCCAACAAGGAAATCCACATAAAACTCTTATCATGAAGCCTTTCACTGTGGTGGAGCCCCTCCTAAACTTTCATGGAATAGGTCCAGCCTCTCACCCTCCACCCACTGTGATAGTCCGCCTCTGCCACCCACGGTAGCCCATTAACTCTGGAGATGGTTTTTAATTGTTTTGTTTCAGTTGTTGTTTCTTTCATACTACACACACACACACACACACACACACACACACACACACACACACACACACCAAGAGACAGAGGGGGCAGGGCTGGGGTAGAGCTGCTAATTGGAGCTGTAAAGAAACATCCTCTCTGGGGCTGCAGGAAGGCTCAGCAGTTAAGTGGCCCTATTGCTTTTCCCAGAGGACCCAGCACCCACATCAAGCAACTCCTAACTGCCTGTAACTCCAGCTCCAGGGCAATCCATTTCCCTCCTGGCCTCTGAAGGCACCTGTACTCACGTGCACATGACCCACACAGACACACATACAAGATTTAAAAATACAATCAATCTTTATAAAATTTCTGGGCTTAACAAGAATTTGTATTTTTAATCCCTTTCACAAAAACTATTTAAAGTTACACTTCTGAAGATGAAATTTTTAAATATGCCCTATGAATGTCTAATTTGGGCAGAATTATTCCTTTTTCTATAAACCTACTCTGTTCTTTCCACTTTATGATGAACCCCTATGTATCCCAATTACAGAGCTGAGCAGCAGGCCTCCAGAGGAACGCAGTCACATGGGACACCCTATGAACCCTGTCCTAGCAACTTTGACCCAAGGCAGAGACAAAAGCACCTGTCCAGGAGCCTGGCTCCTCATTTAGTTGTAAAATTCGGTTTACCAAGTGAATAATGTTGACCTCACCAGCTAGCTGACATGAAAATATTATTTTAAGATAGCACTAAGATTCTTCAAGAATATGTTTTAAGAGATCAAAGAGCAATCAGCAATTCTCTTGGTTGCATAATTTTTAAAGTAAAAAAAAAAATAAGGTCCCATTTGTTGGCTTTAAGGAAAACATAAATGTCTTCATTCAGGGCCCAGGAATAGTTGGGAACAAAGCTGGAACCAGGTGTCACTTCTCCCTGTCCCCGTTGCTCTTCCCACTACACCAGGCCACGTCTCAGTTCATGTCACAGCCACATATCAGAGTGGCTCTTACATATTTGCATAATTCCAATTGGCATTTCCAGCATCATTAAACAATTCTCTATTCTTATCGTATGCCTATAATCAAGATCACTTGGTCTTACTCTGCGTGTGTTCAAATGTTATCTGCCTAAAGATATTTGAAGTCAGGTGGGGCATATCTCCAGAAAGTCAATTAAGTAAATTCAATTTTAGTGAAATTGAACATGGCATGGCTTAGGAGCGTGGGTATAGCGTTTCCAGTGTAAGGCTCTGCCAGTGAGTTCTAAGCCTGTAGATTGGGATTGTGCTGAACAGAGACCTGCCTTTCCACTCACAGGGTGGTGTTTCTTTCACTGTCTTTTTTTTTTTGTTGTTGTTGTTGGTGTTTGCAACTAAAAAAAAACAAATAAAAAAATAGATGTTCAACACATCAACAAAAGAAATATATTATCACCTGAATGACAGCCAAGGCCATCAATATTCAAAAGGAACCATGAAGTTCACAATTCCCCAATATGGATTTAATATACAACACATGCATTCCTGGAAGCTATTTCTTGGCTACTAAGAATCATTCTTTTGAAAACCCCTACCCACCAAAGAGAAAGGTGGCACTGTCGGTGTCTCAGAACCTTTTGTCCCTACTTTTGACAACAAGTAACACTGGAGAGAGACTCGAACCCACAGAAAACTGGCATACTGTTGAAGACTGAGCTCGTGTGCAGCCAAGTGTGCGGTGCTGTCCCGAGCAAGAACCCCAGAAAAGCAAGACTACTGGAAAGCAGTCTGCAGGCGCTCCAGGCAAACACAGCCCGGGAAGAGTCTGTGGCAATGCACAGATCTACTTAGAACGTTCATTTTGCAGGCCGAAATTTTTTTTTACCAGTCTGGCCCTCTGAGACAGTGACTCCTCTGAAATAGATTCTGGGCTTGTTTGTTTGTTTGTTTGTTTGTTTTCTCTTGTTGTAAAGGAACAGAAACTCTAAAGTGTGCTCTGATCCTTCAGCGGCTTGATTTTAAAGTGGTAATCAGCCTTAAGCACTTTTCTGTGGTGCATCCATCCAAAGGGCTTCCTAGGGCCAGTCCCTGTATTTGCAGCTTAAATTGATATTCAGCAACAGGTGGTAGGCTCCGGAGCAGGAAGGAGAACACTTTACATTGGGTAAAAGGCTGAAGACGGAAGGATTCCCTTTTGATAGGGAAAACTTTGCTAGCCTGTGGTCACAACAGCTGGAATTTGGGGGCCTCTCTGTGCTCCGCAGCTTGGGTCAGTGGGACATCACCGAGAGATCACTTGGCTTTCTCCTTTGCCCAAGGGGAGTGAGACGCCTCAGTGAGCTACCTGTAAACCAGAGTAGAATGGAACCCCAGAAGCAGTGTTCAAGAGTCACAAAAATCTCTCAACCGTCACAAGAAGTTCTGCAAAGTCATTATTCTCATTATACAGATGAAGAAACTGGGGCATCACCCCCCACACACACAAAAAGAACTGTCCGGAATCATATAGTAACACATCACAGAACTGGGACAAATAATGAAGTCAGACTCCCAAGCATTCCAGACAACTGAAAATACAGTATTCCCGTTTTAAGGAGTTCTCCACTTCTCTCAGTGAAGCTGTGTCCGTGTGACAGTTCCAGGCCCTCTGGAGGAAGCTGAAGTCAGTCCTGAGGCAAGCAAGCCTTAATTATCACCGGGGGACAGAAGGCTGCATCTTCAAGGAATTCGGCAGAGCTCAGCAGGAGGCAACCACAGTCTTTGGCAACCGATCACTTTTCAACGAGGTTGTCAATCCCAGCAACCATGGACCCTCCACCTGCAGGTCCCCAACAGCTGTTGTTCTTCGCGGTGGGGGGAGCAGTGGCAGTCCGCCCTCCTTTAAAAAGCAAATGCATGCCCCAGATCCCTGCTACCCGCTGGGATCCCACCTGGAATGGCATCCTCCAAGCTAGAGGTCATCTCCCATATTGAGAAAGTCAGAAAACTACCAGGGGAGGGGGTGGACAGCTTTGACAACAGGCCCTGAACTCTCCCTTTTAATATAAGCCAGATTTAACATATGTCATTCGGTAAATCCAGGAGTCCAATTGGAGGCTTGTAATTTGCTGCAAGCTCCCCGGGGCTCCTCAAAGTGAGGTGGGGCTGCACCGAGCACATCAAGGTAGCTGGTGGAAGATGTAATTTGCCCACTGTGAGCCTGCGCGTCGGTTCCCTATTGTAATTTTTATTTGCGTTGAGGTTTTGTGGTTTTAAAAAAGTCAACTAGATTTATTTTTAAATTAAGCCGACCTAACTTCAAAGGCAGTGAGGGGAGGATGGGTATTATACAGAAACCCTTGTTGTAATCTCTTACAGCTGTATCCCCTTTCGGCCACAATTGGTAAATGGCTAGGAGACCTTTCATGACCAATGTGCTGTCTTTCTCTGACCTCATACCCCACCCCCCATGGGTGCAAAACCCTTGCATGGGGATTTCTAAACCCCTCTGCCCTTCTCAGCTTCTAAATCTAATCCTGTTTGTAACGGGGCGTGCTGCATAGACAATGAGGAAGGCAGACTTCAGTCCTAGCCAGGGCTCCCTGCCCACTGTGGCCAGCTTCTAGAAAGGAGGAATCCTTCCAGGTCAAAAATCTGGACCAGTTGGCTCCAGATTCATTTATCTGGTGGGCGGCAAACATTGATGTTGAAAGTTTCTGTTTGACATAGTCTCAAAGGGGGAAAGGAAAAAGAAGGGAAAGGAATTTTCCCTTGAAAAGAATGGCAGATGTTACTCAAGGAATCTGCAGTTTGATATTACGGGGTTCTTTCAACCTAGATATTTGCATGAAAAGAATTTGCTTACTGGCTTGTGGAGGAAACTCCTAAGCTTTGTTTGAGAGCCTTGGAGGAGTGCCTTGCACCCATTCACAGATGTGCAAATTGAGTGCTCCCTTTTCATCTAGGCTGTCCCTTTAGCAGGCACTCCTGTGCTCTGCCGAGCATCACGTGGGAATGGTGTCTTCATGACAGTTACCAGGTAACAAGATGATGCTCGCTGCCACTTAGGACTTTCTATGTATGAATGGGCTCTGCGACCCTCCTGGCTGGAGAAAATGTGAAAACAGGTGCCATTTTTATGCCTCAGTGTGCACAAGAACATCCCCAAGTACAACCATGCAAACACTGTATGGGAAGTTCACAGTGTTAGAGAATCCGTGCGGTGCCTGCTGAGGTCTCCTGGAATGACCTGGCTCACGGGGACCATTTCCAGAACACACACACACACACACACACACACACACACACACACACACACACACACTTCAGACTTCCTGCCTACAGTCTTTCAACTACAGACTTCTACCCCCAAAGAGAGACAGGTAAACAGATTCCTCACTCAATACAGATGGCGGCTTTCTCTGGGAGACTGGCTGTTTGTAAACCTGTGGTTTCTATTAAAAGCGCTGTCACGCAGAGGAAGCATCCCTTGCTCGTCCCTTTGTTCATGTTATGGAAGTATGTGAGCTGCGAAAATCCAGACTTGATTCCGCCATCTTTGCTAACCCATGCGAGTTACTGACCTGCCTTGGTTTCCTCGTCTATAAAATAATAGTAGGTGATTAGGGATAGCAAACCTGTTCACCAAAAGAGCTGAGACAATCAAATTAGTTAAAATACATACAGTAAGTTGTATAATACTTTACAGTAAATACACCTTCTGTGAGCTTTTCATAGCTTGTGAAGAGAAGGTTTGAATGAATGAGTAACAGTGTCTCGGTATAAGAATCTTGCTAATGCTAGGCAGTGGCAGTGCACTGCTTAATGCCAGCACTAGGAAGGCAGAGCAGGCAGATCTCCGAGTTCGAGGCCAGCCTGGTTTACAAAGCAGGTTCCAGGACAGGCAGGGCTACACAGAGAAACCCTATCTTGGAAAACAATAACAACAACAGAACAAAACAAACAAACACAAAAGAATCTTGCTAACATAGGCCTGCACTTGAGAAGCACAAGATGGTAGCATCTCTGGTAATCAGGGAAGACTTTAACAAAGCCATTTAAGTCCCCAGGGCTGTGCAGCTGATGGCACTGATCTCTGCAACCCAGTAAATGCAGGCGCGAACGAGCCTATTCTACAGCAAAAGGGCCCGTTTCTCTATAAAACCCTTGTCTTCTACCCCTATTAATTTCTCTGTGAAGCAAGCATTTTATTGGTAAATGTGTAAATTGCAGACATAGTCTTGATTCTAGTTCTAGCAAATATAACTGAATTAATGGTTTTAATGTACAACATGAAGAACGAGCAAATCTCATGAAGATGTACCAGTGATCGATAAGATTATCTAAAGAGATTAATGTGTTGAGATTGTGAGTCATCATCAACCCGCATAGCATGCTGGTATCTTTATTTATTAGGCTCATTAGCAATAAACAGTTCATGAGCTAACATCACCCCGAGAACATTCCTTTCTGCATTTCCGTTTTATCTGTAAATCTCATCGTCATGTGCTGCTTACACATTTTATTCATGGAGCCCAGATGAACTTGAATCAATTGCATGTTCAGTCCAAGTATTATCGGTGTGAATTTACACACCTACAGAGGATGTATACTGTTTGGGGTGGTGGAGACTACAGACAGTCTCAAAACTTAGAGATTTCAAGAAGCTTGAAAGGAAAAACACCAGCAGTGACTACATTATCTCTCAGAAGAGATTATTTCACAGCCTTTAACTTGAAATGTTTCCCCAAAGGACCAGGTTTTTGCAAAAATGTATTTATGATAAGATTGCTTTCTGCGTGTTTTCAGAACTCCAAGCTATAACTACGCACCGAACATGGACAAACACTGGATCATGCAGTACACGGGTCCCATGCTGCCCATCCACATGGAGTTCACCAATGTCCTCCAGCGCAAACGGCTCCAGACTCTGATGTCAGTTGATGACTCCGTAGAGAGGGTAAGGCCCCCTCCCCGTGGTGACATGTTTTCATCTAACGTCCTCCCATAGATCCATCCCAGTTGATCCAGTTTTTGTTTCCCATTATTGTGTTGAGAGAGAAGCAAGTGTGGTCAGTGACCCTCATCCTGTCCCCTTATCCTGTTTCTTCGAGTTTGATTCTTAAGGAGCCGGTGACAAAGATCAGAAAAATCAAAATATCACAAATCAGGATCCATACTCTCAGATGCTTTCAGAAACTGAACAAATCATGTCAGTGGCTAGAGCAGATTTAATACACTGCACTAGGGACCGACCGGTGAGAATTGTGGAGGAGGTAGTGTTAAGGAGCCCATCTAATGCAAACAGTGACTCCACTTCATCTTTACAGTATAAAAACGGAAACCAAGTATGATCATGTTGTCTGTCTGGCTTTTGAAAGAAGACTGACTCTACCCAGACTGGGTCTTCTTTACACTTATAATTAAATAAACGAGTGATGAAATGAAAATTTTCAAAGTGAAATCTAGAGAGTTCGCTGGGAGAGGCGGTTTCATGACTTGTTTTGTTGTTTGCTTGTTTAGCAAACGGGAAACAAACCCTGTAAGCAGAATGTACTAGATTTAAAAAAAAAAAAAAAGCTACATTTTGACTGTAGTGCGGCATATTTCCCCCAGCAGGATCATTAAGTATTTTAAAATGTGGATGATGTCCCTGTTTGCCAGCCTTACAAAAGTCACTCTTGGCTTTTGAAAAAACGATGAGATTCAGGCATGGTGGTGCACATCTTTAATCTCAGCACTTGGGAGGCAGAGGCAGGTGGAGCACTGTGAGGCCAGCCAGGTCCTTTGGGGGAAGTCCTTTGGGGCAAGGCTCTGGCAGGTCACCTCCCATGTCACACTTGGCTCTGACTTGTCCTGTGCTCTGTTACAGCTGTACAACATGCTTGTGGAGACAGGCGAGCTGGACAACACTTATATCATCTACACTGCCGACCACGGATACCACATTGGACAGTTCGGACTGGTCAAGGGGAAATCCATGCCATATGACTTTGACATCCGTGTGCCTTTCTTTATTCGTGGTCCCAGCATAGAACCAGGATCAATGTACGTATTTCTCTGTAGCATGGAGCTGTCGCAGCTCTGGTACATCTAAGATAATTCAGATCCTAATCTCAGTATATGGTTTCTTTCCATCCAGAACTTAAAAAAAAAAAAAAAGAAGACATACGGGTTGGTAATTGAGCTTCTCCTGTCACCTAGTAACCAAACTAAAGTATCAGTGACTGGTTCTCTCAAACTGAGAGGAGTCCGTGTCCTTCTTGACCTGTGTACATGGCCAGAATGTGCTTTTGGAGACCACCACCCCTCTCTGAATCAAAGGTCCACTGTCACATTTTACAAAGCCCAAAGTCATCTTAGCTTTTAATGACGGGTTACAATGCCTGGTTTTCTTTTAAGAGAAAAGACACTTAAGTGAGTTGTTCCTGTCACCGAGACTGGTCCTGTGTCCCTTTCTCCACTGATACCCTCATCACAGACATAGGTGTCCATGCTCTTTACCTACCATATGAACTTGCTTTGTAGTAAACTGAGATCACGTGTATAGAGAATCATGAAAATAGTAAAAGACAAGATAGGGAGCAGAATTCCAAACAGTGTCTACCATAGACTCAGGCAAAACCAAGAAGCCATAGAGGCAGAATGGGAACCTGCCTGAGAATTCTTTCTCTCCGTCCCCCATCTTTATTTCTATTTATTTATTCTCTTCTTATACAATACATCCTGACCGAAGCTTCCCCTCCCTCCACTCCTTCCCAGCGTCCCCCTTACCCCCAGATTAACTGCTTCTCCATTACCCTTCAGAAAGAGCAGGCCTGCAAGGGACATCAGCCAAACATGGCGTAACAAGATGCAATAAGATTAGGCACAAACCCTCAGATCAAGGTCGCATGCGACAACCCAGTAGGAGGGAAAGGGTCCCAAGAACAGGCCAAAAAACAGTCAGAGACACTCCCTCCTCATACACCCCCACTTTAGGAGTCCCACAAGAACACTCAGCTTCAGAACCATAGGTATACGCAGAAGGCCAAGCTCAGACACATACAGGCTCCGTGTTTGTGACTCCAGTCTCTGTGAGTCCCTACGAGCCCTGCTCAGTTGATTCTGTGGGCCGTGTTCTCCTGGTGTCCTGACCCCTCTGGCGCCTACAATCCTTCCTGCCTCTCTTCTGCGCGGTTCCCCTGACTCTGCCTAGTGTTTGGCTGTGGGTCTCTGAGAATTCTGGATGCTGCAAGCGGTGTCGTTGGAACCCAGAGCCCAGGATTCTGAATTTCGTGTATAGGATCTTACCTGCTGCTGGGATAAGATGACTGACAGGAGGAAAACGGGTTATTTGAAGAAGGTTCTATGTCTATTAAGATTACTCCAGGGAAAGGGGGAATCGAATATATGTTGCATGAAAGCAATCAGGAGACTATTTGAATGCCAGTAAGAGAGCAAAAGGAGGTTAGGATAGGGAAAACAGGAGTATAATATGAAATGTCATAATGAGTCTCATTTCCTTGTATGCTAACTTAAAATTAGTTTTGAAAATTCATTGGTAACTCTCTGGGTATAGTCTTCTGTAGTTAGTTTTGTACACTGAAGGTCTTAGTTATAAGACAAACTAAAAATTGTATGGTTTCTTACAATATTTACTTTACAGCTTAATTTAAGAGGAGTTCTGGAGTATCACATTTTAGAAGAAGCATACCACACACACACACACACACACACATACACACACACACACACACACACCACACATGCACACACACACACCATGGGGCTAGAGAGATGGCTCCATGGTTAAGAGCGTTTACTGTTCTTGTAGAGAAACCTACTTCAGTTTCCAGCACCCACATTAGATAGCCCATAACTGCCTGTGACTCCAGCTCCAGGGAATCAACACTTCTGGCCTCTGTAGGCACCTCACATGCACACACCAACATGCACCCCCTTACACATACACATAACTAAAAACAATAATGAAAAATAGCACCAAGTACCAATAGACATCTTGCCTGGCTGTGCGTTCAAGACATAATGGTTAAGGGGCATCTCTCCTGCCCTCATCCCCTTGAAAATCAGCAATGTCATTGCGGTCTACCACTCATCCTCCCTAGGGGAACAGAGGGAGGTGAGGCTTGAAGGCCAATGAGCCATGGCTGTGAAAAAAAAAAGCATCTCTGTTGCCCTCTGCTACCTGCTTTAGGTCTAGCCTGGAATTATCTGTCTCTTTACAGAGTCCCACAGATTGTTCTGAACATCGATCTAGCCCCTACCATCCTGGATATTGCAGGCCTCGACACCCCTCCTGATGTGGATGGCAAGTCTGTCCTCAAGCTTCTAGACCTGGAAAAGCCAGGTAACAGGTGTGTGAACATGTCTTCCCTCAGCCATCCCCCAACCAAGCACACCAAGCCCTCACTGGTACCCAGAGCCAGCCAGTGCTGAAAACCGTGGAGGTAAAATAAGTTTTCCCCGGGAGGATTCCTACAAATGCAGCCTTTCTCGGGCTATTTGTGAATTGCGCATTGATGGCGATGCAGCCACGGTCTGTGGGAAGTGGGGGGTGTTTCTTTAAATAAACTGACAGCACAGATCCATTTGGGAAAACATCCAGAGGCTAACAGTAAATATTATTGTTTTGATTTCAGGTTTCGAACAAACAAGAAGGCCAAAATTTGGCGTGATACGTTCCTAGTGGAAAGAGGGTAATTATCGGTTCCTGGGGTGCTTCTGGGAACTGCTCCTCGTGGGTAGCTCTTCCTGCTGGGTATTTTTTTCCCCTTCTTATTTTGGTTTGCTAAGCATGCAGATTTCACAAGCCCAGTTTCAAGTTTGACTTTACTATTTTACTTTATTTTGGATATAAGTGAGTTACTTGAAGATGAGAGGACAAGTTTCAGGAGTCAGTTCTCTCCTGTCTTAGGTTCTGGAGATCAAACTCAGCTGTCAGTTGTGCTCAGCAAGCGTGTACCTGCTGAGCCATCTCCCTGGCCCCACCGTTTGAACAGCTGATTGCTGTTCCCTGCCAGTTAGCTGTTGTTATTACTACAGTAGAACTCGAGAGAGTAAATTGTCATAGATGGGACTGGAGCCTCTCTGTGGGTAGAGATTCACTGTGGTGCTTCTCAGCCTTGCCTCTTAGCAAGTCAACTGCCTTTCTCTTCCATCCCTCCCAAGTCCTGAAAGCCATCCCCACCCAGCCTTGCCTGTACCCGGCGGCTCACTCTGTCTTTTTCCTTATGTTCTCTTTATAAGGAACTATTGACTTATATACATTTCTGTTAACTTATATACGTGAATGCCAATGTAATTCTTTACATAGTCACTTCTGGAATATCTGGTTTGTGGTGTGCATTGCTTTGTTTTTTCTCTTTGTGTAAAGAGAGAGAGAGAGAGAGAGAGAGAGAGAGAGAGAGAGAGAGAGAGATTAATACAACTGTTTATTTACAAAAAAGAACCTGGAGGGTTTTTGGTTTTTTGAGATAGGGTTTCTCTGTGTAGCATTGGCTGTCCTGGAACTCTCTCTGTAGACCAGGCTGGCCACAAACTCACAGAGATCTGCCTGGCTCTGCCTGCTGAGTTTGAGTGCTGGGATTAAAGGTGTATGCCACCACCGCCTGGCAAATCCTGAGTATTTATACAGAGTTGAGTGTTGGAAACAGTGCTTTTCCAGGAACAGTGATTGTTCCTCTGCCAATTCTGCATCTTCCCAGGACTCCACTTGCAGTGCTCACAAAGGACCCAGCCTGCACTGGGCTCCTCCAGACAGCAGTGGCATCTGAGCGATCCTGTCTGAAAAGTGTGGGGTGTCTGTGATGGGGAAGGAGGGTGTGCGGGAATCGGGAAGGTGATCGGGTGGTTCTCCAGTAAGAAGCTTTCCCCTTTCTGTCAAAGGAAATTTTTACGGAAGAAGGAGGAATCCAGCAAGAATGTCCAGCAGTCAAACCACTTGCCCAAGTATGAAAGAGTCAAGGAGCTGTGCCAGCAGTCCCGATATCAGACAGCGTGCGAGCAGCCCGGGCAGGTGAGTGCAACGCTGTTCTCCCCACTGCTCAGTTCAACAATCCAGACCTGTGTGCATCCCGACGATTTCCGTGGGGGATGCAGGCAGACTCGGTGACAGCTCCTCGCCTCCAGAACGGTCGACCTGTCCAAGCCTGGCCTTCCAGTCACTCCCCAGCTCCCTCTTGTGAACAAAGATGGCTCTCAGAGGGATTTCTATGCCAAAGGGCACTGGTTCCATCAGAGTGGGTCATCTAGCTGTGTCCTACAGATCATGTACTCAGGATGTAGATGGCTGCTGAACAGCGACCTGATGGGACTTTCCGTTCCAATCAGAAGGGACAGGTCTAGGCAGGGTGTATGGTGGGATCTATACCAGAGCTGGTAAGGAAAAAACAGCCTGTATGTTCACTTCTAGCTCACAAATATTTTTATATCAGCTGTGATTATGAAATTGAGGCTTGGCCAGGACATCAGCTGTCATCAGTGAGAATGGAAAATACTAGCCAACAAATTAACACCGCTTAAAAGAAAATTGGGCTGGGCATGGTGGTACACACCTTTCATCTCATCAATCTGGAGACACCCAGGTGGGTCTCTGTGAGTTCCAGGCCAACCTGGTCTACATGAGTTCCAGGCCAGCCAGGGCTACATGGTAAGACCTTGTCTCAAAAACAAAAAACATAGAGAAAGGGGAAAAAAGAAAGCAAAAAAGTAGGGGCATGTGGCCACCAACAATTTAAAAAACTCTTTGGTTGGAAACTGTGCCAAATAAAAGGAAATCTATACAGACTAAAGGAAAATTCCATGTCCCAATGAAATGGCAAAAGAGAAAGAAAAGGGAGGAAGGGAGGGAGGGAGGAAGAGAGGGAGGGAGGGAGGGAGAGGAAAAAGAAAGAGAGAGAGAAACAAACAAACAAACCAATCAATCAATCACTCACTCACTCAATCAATCAATCAATAAATGGTGGTAGGAGGGAAAAATGGACCCGTCTGTTGGTTAGACTTCTGTCACATCCAAGGCTCAGTGTGTACGATTTGTGTCTGCCTGCTGACTGCAACCTGTACGTCTTTTTTGTTTATAGCCATGGGAATCCCCACCTTACAAACAGGTGGTTTGTTGGATGAAAAATCTAGACTCTAAGCAGGAACTGTCTAATTAAGAAAACACAGACAAGGGTTTGGAGAGATGGCTTGGCTATTAGGAGTGCACACTGCTCTCTCAGAAAATCCAAGTTCAGTTCCCAGCACTCACGTTGGGCAGTTCCAAGGGATCTGACGCCTCTAGCCTCCTAAGTAAGGCACCGGTACTCAGGTGCACATACCCCCACACAGACTCATATATATGCACACAACTAAAAATAACAAAAATAAACTTAAACAAATAAACAAAGGGCACTTGCTGCCCTCCGAGATAAGTTACCTTAACTAAAGAAAGAGGGTTTTTTTATTTTGGGGGGAGGAGGGTTTGGTTTTAGTTTTGGTTTTTCAAGACTGGATTTCTCTGTATAACAGCCCTAGCTACCCAGGATCTCACTCTGTAGACTAGGCTAGCTTCAAATTCACAGAGATCCACCTCCCTCTGCCTCCCAAGGGCTGCGAAATCCTATGGGGAATTTCTTTCTTTCTTTCTTTCTTTCTTTCTTTCTTTCTTTCTTTCTTTCTTTCTTTCTTTCTTTCTTTCTTTTTTTTTGTCTCTTTTTTTTTGTCTTTTTTTTTTTCTAGAGCTGAGGACCGAACCCAGGGCCTTGCGCTTGCTAGGCAAGCACTCTACCACTGAGCTAAATCCCCAACCTGGAATTTCTTTTTATAACACATGTGTCTGAGCCTTAGATATCCACATAGTTGTCTAAAGATACCAGGCATGAGAAATGGGCCACCTAGCTATTATCTAATGGCCTCGTCCATTGTGCTTTTATTATAAGTTCCCCAGTGTGCTAAATACGTCATGATCAACAACGTGATCCCAAGTCTCTTGCCTCTCGATTTCTTGTTTACAGAGTTACTTTGAAGTATAAAAAGTTTGGGAGAAAGAGGGTTTCAAGGCATAAAATCATACTTGCGTATAATTCTAGTCAGTTTTCAAGTGATTCATAGAAAAGCTTAGACCTATTCATCATATTTTAACTCAAAGTCTTTAATATCTCACATGGGTACTCTTAAGTATTATTATGAAGGCAACTTCAGAGTTCTTCTGAAGCTCCCGGATAGTTTGTAGGAACCAGCCTCAACAGGCTAATGCACTTTATTCAGGCGTTGGAAATGCTCACTGTTTAATGTTTAATGTCTGCAAATTGCTAATCTTGTTAGGATCTGAGCCCTCTCCGTGGTGAGCAAGATATGGATTTGGGAATGAGGCACGCCGCTTATCCACCTTTCAGCATGCCATTCTGCAAATTTCTCATTATGTCTTGTGCTGAAACTTCAGTCTATGTCCTAGAGGGCAAATGGAGCATAAACGCAATCATGTTATTTTGGCAAAAACCTCACACTTGCATGCTGCGCGGTAACTATATTAAAAACCTAATTTTGTTTTTCTCATAGTTTTCTAAACTTAATTTGCTCCTGTGAGATGCTTTTATGGCTGTCTCTCTAGAATGTACCTCTGTTACTTTCTTTCCGTGTGGAACAGTCTGAACTTAGATTTTTTTTTTCCCCTCACACAGGTATTTGAGAATGTCAGAGCTTGCCTCTCTTAGAAGCACCCCAATTGATGACAAAGAATTAGGCTATGCCTAGATGGTGAACTTTCTTTCCTAAAGAAATTCTTTAAATTGGGCAGAAGATGGGTTTAGGAGAAGGGATGTGAGGGAAAGTGGCTGCCTCAAGCATTGGTGGCCCAGTGGCACTAGGGAATCGTGACTATGATCTCATGGTTCCTTGAGTATGGCCCCTGGACCAGCAAGATCAATCTGACCGTGGGGCTTGTCAAAATGTAAATCCTCTACCCCAGCCCACTGATTAGGTACTATGGTGCCTAGCAGTGTCTGTGGACAAGTCTTCCAGTGCCTGCTGGGGAGAATCTGGAAGTGTCAAGAAAGTTTTAGAAGCCGAGATCAGCTCTGGGGTTGGCTTCATGTTCTATAGAGTTCTCTATCTCCTACCCATTTGCCTTTCTCTCTAGCTACATTGAAGATTATCTTTTCGCAGACAGTACCACTGACTTAAAAGAAAAAGAATCCAAATAATAAGGTCGTGTTGCTTGGGGACCAGGGTGACAGCTCAGGAGACAGCTCAGGCTAGAGTTGACTAGTTTGGATCCATTCATTTATTTCTAGTCCTGAGCCCAGGGCTTCACACATGCCAGGCGCATGCGCTATCAACCCAGCTTTTTCTCCAACCCGGCATCCACCCTCGATCCTTGGCTTCATATTTGGGCCATGCCCTCCTCTTGCCAAGGTTTCATCCTTGCCAAGCCTTCATCCTCATGCCTGACAATTTGTGGGGTGCTGAAGAAAACCCAGCAATGTTAGCTCTATTCTCATCGTTCCCAGTCCCACTCCCATCCTTACCCGGTCACCTAGGTAGTTATGGCGAGTACATGAAGCAGCTTAATTCAAAGAAAATAGAAGGGAGCTGAAGAGGGTTCGGCTGGATATAGTAACCGCTGCTTCCTAGGTGTGTGTCCTGAACAAGTCTTTTAAATTCTCCCCGGCCTCAGCTTTTCTGTCTCTAGAATAGAGAAAGTCAACCTCAGAATGGTGAGGAACAAGTGCTCTCATATGCATAACACGTGAGGAGTGGCTGGGAGTAATTTCTCCCCAGTGAAACTGTTCTTCTAGGCACGCTTACCTGTTGTTTGTATTTCTACGAAGCCTCCAGGGAGTCAAAACGGGCTGGAGTCCCAGACGCTTGGCGTGACTCCTTGACTGTGCGCACAGAACCACCAGCAGGGATTAATTATGACAACATGGACATATGTGTTTGCATTGCTTCCCTGTTTCTGCATTAATCCAAGACAAAGTGTGAATTCCCGCCACCCTCTCAGCTAGGAATTCTGCCCCAAGCACATTTGTATGCACACATTGTGCTACCACATAAACACACTCACGCTCTTGTGCAAAATCTAAAGGTGATGCTGAGTTCCTGCTGCACGCGGCTCTCACCTGGGAGAGTGTCGGGAACTATCACTGCGCCGTCTGCCCACAGAGCAGCCAGATGAGATGATGTGGGTGGCAGGAGGCATCTGGGGGATTTCTGTTTCTCTTGTCTGTTTAGGGCTTGTGGTTTGTTTTGTTTGTTTCTGTTTGTTCTTTGAGACAAGGTCTCCATATGCAGCCCAGGCTAACCTTGAACTCTCCATTCTTCTACCTCGGCATCCCAAGGGTCCACATTACAAAAGTACGCCATCATCCCCTCCCCACTGCATTTGTGCTGTTGGTTTTTATTTAACCAGTGGTAAGAACATCAAGCCTAGGATCAGACCCTGCCAAAGCTGCAGGAATCTTAGAAAGCCTGGTTGAATGATAGCATTTTCTGACCAAGGAAATTTTGATCTAGAAAACTTAAGCCAACTTAACATCTCTTCACTTCCAATCTTGTGCTCCTCTCTGGTAACTCTTGTCTCTACAACGGCCTGAGACAGTCGACTTTCCCTTGACAACTCCATGAGGGCCACGGCCCTCAGCCCTGACTGCGCTGTGACATCTAAAGCCGATGCACAAGTCAGCCCAGACAAATTCAATCCAAACTTCTGGGGGAAGAGATAGTTGTCAGCTCTCTTTCAAACTTCTGGAAGAGTCTTCTGAGCAGGCAGAGTCGAGGAGCGCAAATGTCAGGTGCGCACTCTTGCACAGTTGTTTTCTTCTTCCTCCCTCGTGGTAGAGACATGGATTCCTTGAAAAGGAGCCACGTGAAGGAGAAACTCTCTGGTTATCCACTCCTGAAATACTTTTTATATATTTTTCTCTGACATTTCACATGGGGAGAAAAAGCAGCTTGGTGTCATTTTAATAGATCAGATCTCATGTCTTTTCATTGAATTGTTGGATCCCAGCATCTTCTCAGTCCGGTTTGCCTGCT